TGCTGAGGCCCCCGCGCCCGCTGTGCTGGAAGACATGTAGCCCAATGAGACCCCCACCACTGAGCGCTCAGCTTCCCCCTTCCAGCTCCCTCCTCCCAGTTTTCCCCCTCCCCTCTCCTACCCTTTCTCCTCCCATCTCCCGCCTCCTTTCCCCAGTCTACCCAGAGGTTCATCCCTCCCCATCCCCCAGGGCCGTTTTGTTAAATAAACAGAGTTTCTTTTTTTGAAAAGTGTATTTTATTTGCCATCTGGAATGGAGAGGCTAGGGAGGGGTAAGTGGAAGGAGGTGAGGAAGAAATGAGGCACAAGCCCCTAGTGGGGCAGACCGGGGAGACTGTTAGTGCTCTTCGGGGCGGAAGCTCTCCAACAGGGCCCCCTGTATACTGACAGACTCCCGATGGACCTCCTGAATGGCAGCCTGCAGTACGCGCAGCCAGGCTGATGGCAACACGTCCACAAGATGCACCAGAGTGTCCAGGGGAAGCTCTGGTTCCCTGTGGCAGAGTGCTATGGTGTCCCGAGAGAGGGCATGCAGAGACACACATGCTTTGCTCTCCCTCATTGAAGTAGACAAGCAGGGAAACCTGAGAACTGTCTGTCTGGGTTGGGGGTAGTGTCCCTTTAAGCACAGACCTCAGATAGCTGCAGGCAGCAGCCCCACACATTAAGTCCTGACTTGGTGCCCTGCCGGAACTGGTTCCAGCCAGCCATAACTCTGATTCAGAGTCCACTATGTGTGGACGCGCTATTTCAAAATAGCAAAATGCTAATTCAAACTACATTTTGTGTGTAGATGTATTAATTCAAATTCGCTTAATTCAAATTAACTATTTCGAATTAAGATAACTTGAATTAACGCTGTAGTGTAGACATACCCTCAGAGTTCCAAAATGGGAGTGATAGGCAGAATAGATCATCCACTCGTTATTTTTGTGTGCTAATTAAGCTAATACCTGACACGGATTTGGATTCATGGTTCAGTGTTTACTTTACCAGACATGGTCTTAACACAGTCTTTGACTTATATTAAAATACAGGACTATGTAGCACTTTAAAGGCTAATTAGATGATGAGCTTTCGTGGGCCAGTCCCACTTCCTCAGATCAAATAGTGGAGAAGTGGGTCCGGCCCACGAAAGCTCATCATCTAATAAGCCATCTTATTAGTCTTTAAAGTGCTACATAATCCTGTATTTTGCTTCAGCTACACCAGACTAACACGGCTACATTTCTATCACTATTTGACTTATATTAGTAAGCCTTTTGATTTGGAATAATTCAGGCTTTCTCTCATTTTGTATCTTTTTTTCCCATCAGTGTTTGTTGACAGTTACAGTGACAGTTTAATTGTAAGAAATGAGTGAAAGTTCATAAAACTCACAACTAGGATACATTTGTGGCCCAGTTATTTCAAAAGGCTTCAAGCCACGATTAACAGTTTTCGAAGAAACAAGATATTATTAATGCCTGCCACATGTCTGAAACTGGTGTCTGCTTCTGAAAACCTTTTATTGGCTCTGGTACAATAATACCCACCATAAATGGAAAGAGTAATGTTGCTAAGATACTGTTTACCTGCAGAAGTGTTTGTCTTTTATATGATGCATGTGATGCCATGGGAACCAGTTGGGTGGTATTTATTTAAAGAAAACCGTGCTGTAAATGGTTCTTATATAGTTCCTATACTGTTTTTCAACAGCTGCACACACAAAGCTAATTTCTGAGAACAGATTTAATAACTAGAAACCCATTCAGAGATATGGGACAGCACAGGTCTTGCATTAAAAAAATCATTATCTGACGTATTTTAATCTATATTTTAGAGATGTTTATATAGGTATTATCCATATTTTGTGGATTGATTATTGGTTTAAAACAGTTGTATACATATTCTCTGCTTCAACTTTCAGCTAATTTCATTTTCTTAAAAAATTAATTACAGATTGCCTTATTCCCCCCTTCAGTAGAACTAATTAACTGACTCTCTCTCCAAAGAGGTTTTTGACTCTCATAAGGAGTCCTGCCTTTGGCTAAAAGCTGCCAATTCTGTTTTTGATTCAGAAAGGAAATGTTTCTCTCTTTTTTTTTTTTTAATTTAAAAAACTCTGTGCTCATTTTCTCCTTTCAAGCATTTTTATGTTCAATAGCTTTTTCATCCTTGATTCTAATATAGTACTCTCTAGTTTAAGAACAAATGATTCTTCTGTAATTAAATTTTACAAATACATTATTTTAAAGTGCGAATATAAACCATAAACATTGAAACTATATGTAAATCCTCCAGTTTAAAGTGATTGGTTGTGTGTGACACATACTGCCTTCAGTATGTGCACAAATATGTGATTATCATGCTTTCGTAAAACAGTTATTTTAATCTAATAATAAGCTACACTGCAAGCCTGAGATGAGAGTTGGCATTAGATTGACTTGAGACTAGCTAGTTTATTTTAGCTGGCTGCTGTGTTTTTTATATGTTGGGTTGGCTTTAGAGGAAAATATGGTACAGCCTTAATCATCCAGATGTCATGAAGAACAGAGAACCTGTAAGTTAATCAAGGGAAAGTTCAGTGTAATTAATAGATAGTGTGGGACATGACCCTGTTTCCAGGTAACAAGAAGTTTTAGATTGTTGAGATTTAAATAACGGAGGCTGTACTGAAGCAGTTTCCTCTTTGGGAAAGGGATCAGAGATGTTTAATCTTGAAACATTATATAAATGGTTTATTTCATTAGTCGAATTTGCCAGTGTGCCTTATTTTTGTATTGTTTTAGATGATTTATGTTTATGACTGCATATCTACACTATAGCCTAAATTGATATAAATTACATAGCTCAGTGTTGCTTAACTGGCAGACAAAAAGCCCTCGCTTCCCCCTGGGCAACATAGCTTCTGCTTCTCATGATGATGGAGTAATTATGATGAAAGGGGAGTGTTTTCCTATCAGCATAACATGTCTTCACCAGCTACATCAGTGCAGCTATGAGTGTCGCTCTGTAATATAGACTTGCCCTGAGTCTTGCCTGTATCACTGCTGGAGCTCACAGAGCAAAGCTACAAATGAGTCATTCTAATGTAATGTCAATGCTAAATGCATCAGTTTTATTCAGAAAGAGACTCCCAATCTTAAGTTCATCTCTACTAATTTACAGTCTTATGCCCCTGGTACTTACTATTGCCTGCAGATTTCAGTAACAGTATTTCTAAAGCCTATTACAGCTCAATTTAAATGATATTCTTCTATGAAATTGGATTATATTTATTTCCATAATTTACAACTTGCGGGGAGCATGTTCAAACTAAGAGGTCAGGCTGTTTCTTGATTTACAATGGGTTCCATCCTGACATGGAAGTAAAAGAGAACCTATATTGATAGAGGAAAGGCAATTATTTGGAATATCAGTAGTCAGTATATTAGTAAATGGCATTTGAATACAGTACCATGATTGGGGGAAAAGATCTTTCACACCATAAAAGCAAATGAGAAATATGCTGTGTATTTAATTTTACTGGCTAAGATTTTCTTTTAGATACTGAAAATAAGTAGTCACTTTTTTTTTTTAAACACACTAACATAAAATTTGTGGTGCTAGTCCAGGTAATAGTGGTAAGGATCCATTTATCACAATGTCCCCTTTATGGTCAGTGATTTCATGGGGAAATATTCTAAAAATAAAACAGTACATAATGAGACTAATATTCAGCATACTTCTGTGCCACTTCGGAGAACTATGTTTGACATATTGCTGTACAGCAGGGGTGGCCAACCAGTTAGATTATGAAGTGACAAAATAGCTGTGGATAAAGTGCAAAGAGCCACGTATTAAATATTTATTTTTATATATCTGTATTTCAATAGATACAGTACACAAAATATAATGATAAAAATAACATTACAGGGTATTTCAGACAAAAAATAATAAAAAAATGTCTCTAGTCACTTAAAAAATTCATGGCCAGTTCATAGATCTTCAGAGAACTCCACAAGGAACAAACATCAAACTTTAAAAAAATGCCCTGTAAAAATACAGTAATTTTCTTGCACTAAAAATAAGCATCCCCACCATGTTTTTTAAATTTAACACTGCTGCCTTATTATGTCCTGTGAGTTTTTTAAAATTAAACTGAACTGAGAATTAAATTAGCACAATTTGAAGTTCCTGTTTCACTACAGTTTGTTGCTCTCTGGTATGGTTTCCTCAATTATTTATTTTTTACGAAGATGCCATTATGGAAGACTGCAACTGGGAAGCAAACATTTCCACCTGACAACTATCAAGAACTCCAGCCACATTATTGGCTTGAATGCATCTCTCTCTCTAATATACAGTATACTCTTCTATAAGATTTTTTTATATCAGTAGGAACTTTTAATCAGATTCGTGATGAGTAATCCTCTGTAACAGGCACTGACAAAATGTGATTATTTTGTACAATGTAATAATTGATTATGAAATCTAAAGATATCGCTTCATTAAATACCTAATCTTTTCCAGACACCCAAAACATGTGAAAATTTCATCAAGCTATGCAAGAAGAACTATTATGATGGAACTGTTTTTCACAGATCAATTCGTAATTTTGTTGTAAGTATTGAACAAATGCTAAATAATTCAGAATAGATTTTGTCATTTCTATTCTTCTGAATTAGGAATTTAATATATTAGATGTGTTAATTTTAAAATTCTAGTTATTTCCTAGAATAAGTAGATGTATAGTAGAGATGGTGATGAAAAATGTATCTTAGAAACAAGGATTGTCCCCACTGAGTGAGGGCAAGAAGTATAATTTGAACACCTAGCCGCTGTCACTGAATAATATTGTTGCTCAGAGTCTGATTTAAAGCCCATTGAAATCCCTGATGGGCAAGACTTCCGTTATTTTCAGCAAGCTTTGGCCCTCGCTATCAGTGCTTAAAGATCAAAATCCTGATACGGGTGGGTAATATCTTAGCCCATTTAAATCCCATTCAGCTGAAACTTCATTTACAAGATACTCTGGGTTTAAAAATATGTATCTTTGAACTTCATTTGTGAAATTCCACAGCATAAGCTGAAACAATTGAGAAATCTATTTCTGTGGGAGTTCTGTGACTAATCATTTTGATTTGGTATGCAGGAGTTAGAAAAAAAAAAGCTAAGTCTGGAAGGTTTTCTATGTTTGTTGAACTCAAAAGGGGGAGCTAGCCCCAGTGTGTGTTCTTTTTCTATACAAATCAAGAAACCCCATTTCCTTTCTTATGTCTTTGTTTTTGGTTGAGGACAGCAGTAGAGAGGAAGGGAGGTATGCTGACTTGGGTAGAAAGGGTTTCCCAGCTGAAGACTCAGTCCTGCAAGGTGTTGAGCAGTCTGGCTCAAATCCATTAAATCATTGAAGAACATGCTTAAAGTTAAGCATATGTGTGGTCCATTGACTTCTGTGTAATTACTCATGATTAAAGTTAAGCATCTGCTTAAGTACTTTAGATTGGGACCTAGAGAGCTCTAGGATTATGTAGGATCAAACCCAATTTAATAACCTCAGCCTGTTTGTGAACTTCTGTGAACATGGGTCACGTTTCATGAAGATATTGAATCTTAATTTCACAATAAAGATTTTTGGAATCTTTTTTTTTTTGTTTTTGTTTTTGTTTTTTACTTGTTCTGATATTCTGTAAAAAACTATTTTACAATTGATTTTGAAATTGAAATAAAAGCTTAGATTTGGTTACTAGCCATGCCAGATAAATAGTTCTCCTGCTGCATTTTTAGTTTTGAATAAATCATTATTTGAAATATTATCATATGAGTGTTTGTGGTACCTCATTACTATACTAGCTCTTTCACCTCACTTGCCTACAGAATCAGACATCATAAAGCAACTGTCTCAATACCCATTACTGAAAAATGCTTACTTTCTCATTTTACCGTCTAATTACAAATTGGAATATAAATATTGTACAGGCAGTCCCCGACTTACGCGGATCCGACTTATGTCGGATCCGCAGTTATGAACGGGGCTGCCCCAGAGTACACGGACTGCGGGACATCGCGGTCCTGCCGCCCGTGTACTCTAATTATTTGACAAATATG